GTATTTCCCCTGCCAGCACTGTGTGTCCCGTGGGGGACAATGACACAGTCAACAGCCACAAAAGAAAAAACTGGAGAAGCACGAGCCCGTCCATAGGCTGGCAGGACTGCGGTGTCTGCGGCCCCATGGCCCCTTGCTTACAGGAACGGGATGATCCTTCTCCCTCACTGTGCCGGGAACCGTCCCGTCCATCACTGACGCACCCACACACTGTCCCGCAGCGCCCATGGCAAGCATGATGCTCCAACCAGCCCGGTGTCCACCTCCCTCCTCCTTACATCCAAGGTCCTGTCCCTGCGCAGGTTTTTGGACGTTTGGACAGATCGGGGGGAGGTGGCAGGAGCCTGAGCCGGCTGAGGCAGCCCCTTTAGCAGAGCTCAGCCTGTCTCTGGCGGGCGGCAGACACCGACACATGAGTCACGTTAAAGAAGGATCTTTCCAGGGAGATGGTGTCGGTTTCAGCCCGATATGGGAAAGTCCCTCGGAGAAGGCATCGGGACGCCTGGGTGTGAGGCCAGGCTGAGTCACGCAGGATGAATCTGGGCAGACCCCTTTGCCTGCCGTGGTGCTGCTCGGCCAGCAAAAGTGGGACGAGGCGACAGCTGGGCTAGGACGGGTTTGCTGTCCCTTGGGGCACCCACAGCAGCCCCAAGCATCCTGCCCGAGGTCTCTCCTGTGACCCCTCTCTCTAGGAAGAGCCTCTGCACACCAGCTCACGCCTGCCATCCCCTTCCTCCCCTTGCTGCAGCGGCTCCTGCTCACCCACAACCTTCCCAGCCAGGGTGCTTGGGGACGAGGTGACGTCTGGCCTCTGCCCACCATGTCTTGCGGGGCTTCAAGTGTCACGTGTGTGCCATCTCCTGCCTTTGTGAAGCACGTCAGGCTTTTAACGAGGGGAGCCATGCCATCAGCTTCTCCCTCGGAGTCATGGGTTGGGTGAAGCCACCCATGGCATGGAATGGAGACGGCGTTCCTGGCACTGACGGAGGCTGCGGGAGTGGACTGGGAGCTGTGCCGGCATGGCGCCGCTTGGGCCTTTTGGGAAGGAGGAGGCTTTGGAGCACTGGCGGCAGCGGGCGCCGGCGGGCTGGGGTGTCTCCTGCCGCAGGCTGGCCGGCTCTCAGGGGGAGCTGCATGGCACGTTAGGCATGCAATGGACGGGCAGAGGTGGTGACAGGGGGGCAAACAGTGCAGGGAGTGCCATGAAGGAGATCCTTCAGGAGGTTACCCTTACTTTGGCAAAGCCTAGAAAGCCGGAGACGGACAGAATCGCGTACCATGAGGTCACACTGGTTGAAATGACATAGAATCACCCAGTGGTGATTTGGAACAGGAGGAGCACGTCTTTCAGAGTGGGATTCATGACACCCAGCAAGCTGTGAGACTTCTCTTGCCCCACCACCATGCATTTTATCCAAAACATAGAATCATAGAATGGTTTGGGTTGAAGGGACCTTTAAAGACACCTCCCACCAGCCCAGGTTGCTCAGAGCCCCATCCAACCTGGCCTTGAACACCTCCAGGGATGGGGCAGCCACAGCTTCTCGGGGCAACCTGCACCAGGGGCTCACGACCCGCACAACCGAGAATTTCTTCCCAATATCTCTTCTCAATCTCCCCTCTGTCAGTGTCAAACATCATTACATGTGAGCAGAAAGGCACGGTGGGAAAGCACTCCTCTCTGACGGGGATGGATGGGCTGTTTTGACCCGAGCACCCGGCAGCGCGAGACAATTTCTGTGCTGACATGCTCAAGCTGCTCTGCTCTCGGCTCAGCCTGGAGCCAAGCGCGTGTGTGCGTTTGGGAGTGGAGAAGGGGCTCTGCCGCCTTCCCTTGGTGGGACGGGGCTCTCCGCGGCGCTGCCTGCTGTAGCGTGCTGAGCTCCCAAGCCTGCGAGCGCTGGGGCGAAGGGCTGGAGCTGCCGCGCACGTGGGCGCTGGGTCAGCTTCGGGCGCTCAGCGAGACGAGGGGTCTCGCATGGAGCTGGCTTCTCGTGGCCGGGACGGTGGCCGCCTGGCTCGGCAGAGCCCAGGCAGAGTCCTTTCCACCCGGCAGCGAACGGGCTGAGCCGTCCCAGCTGCGCCGCCTTTGCAGCTCCAGAGGAGATTGCTTTCATTTCCTCGCCATTTGTCAAAATACCTTCCTGATAAAAGACAGTTTATTTTATTCCTTTAGCACACAGTAAAACCTATCGAGTTGTTATCTGGCCGTAAAATCTCAAGCGCAGACCGAGCACGCTGCTCAGGCACAGTGTTCAGTGCCCCCTCCCCAGCCTCAGCCCGACCCACATTATGTCTCAGCCAAAGCAAAGTATCTTCTCCCCTAGGACAGCCGCGAGGATCCCATCTCGGGGAGGTTTATCCAGAAGAGCAGCAGGAAGGGAGGTGGCCCGTCTTGGCCCGGGAGCCCTGCGCTGCTTGTCCTGTCCGTGCGGCGTGGCATAGCCATGCCTGTCCCGGGCTTTGCGCCCACACACGAGTCTGTGCTGGGAACTGCTGCAGGGGTGGGATGGGGGTTTTATCGGATGCAAAAGCGGCGATGGGAATTTGTCAGAATCGATGCAAAAGTGGTGGTGGGAATTTATCAGAATCGATGCAGAAGTGGCGATGGGAATTTATTGGAATCGATACGAAAGTGGCGATGGGAATTTATAAGAATCAATGCAAAAGTGGAGATGGTAATTTATAGGAATGGATGCAAAAGCAGCAATGGGAATTTGTCGGAATCAATGCAAAAGTGGTGGTGGGAATTTATTGGAATCAATGCAAAAGTGGCGATGGGAATTTATCAAAATCAGTGCAAAAGTGGCGATGGGAATTTATAAGAATCGATGCAAAAGTGGAGATGGAAATTTATAAAAATCGATGCAAAAGTGGAGATGGAAATTTATAAGAATCGATGCAAAAGTGGCAATGGGAATTTATAGGAAATGATGCAAAAGTGGTGATGGAAATCTATTGGAATTGACACAAAAGTGGTGGGAGTTTTTCGGAATCAATGCAAAAGTGGCGATGGGATTTATAAGAATTGATGCAAAAGTGGTTATGGAAATCTATTGGAATTCATACAAAAGTGGCAATACCAGCAAAAGAGACGGAGAACTTGATCTTTGACGCTGGTATGGGAGGTTTCCGAACCGGCTGGTAACTGGAAGGCAGTGGAGTTTCCCGGTTCAGCCCCATCGGAGCTTCCCCACCTGCCACTTCTGGTTTTGAACAGGGAGAGCACTGGCTTGAGCGGTTTGCAGCCGGTGGGCTGCGTCCCTCGCCCGCGGGGGAGAGTTTGTCCCCGGGGCTCATGAAAGCCAAAGCCAGGGGAAGCTCTCGGTCTCCGCTGCCCAAGCCGGGAGAGCCCCGCGTATTTGTCTTTGACGACCTGAGGTTTAGCGGTGCAAATCCCAGCAGATGCAGAGACTCCTGAGGCCGTTCCCTCGTGCCCTCTGCTCCCAGCGCCGGCTCCTCCGGTGGGTTGGAAAGGACGCGCGAGGGGGATTAACAGGGTTTGGGGTTTTCCTGCTCTGAAATACTCAAGCTGTCAGAGTTTGCTCGTGACTGGTTTTACCGCTGCTGCTTCATGCTTAATGAGCCTTGAATCCTTAACAAAGACTTCTCTCCCTCTTCAGGGCGTTTCTCATTGGGGTTAAACGGGTTCAAATGGTGGAACGTGCATGCATGGCCCCGGCTGCCATCCCGACACCTCCGCCTCGGCTCTTGCTCTCCCCTTTACCTCTGCCCTCCAGAGACCGTCCGCACCGTGAGGGACACCAACAGGTTTATAAAACCTGGCTGAGCCGCCCGGGGCACAGCCTCCTGGAGCAGGGCTGGGGGCTGCACAGCCGCCTCCTCCCAGTTCCCCCAGTCCCCCGTGGCTGCCTGTGCGTGGCAAGAGCTGCCCCGTACGTCAGGAGAGCCCTGGGAAAGGCTGCAGCCCTGCCCCGTGCCAGGAAAGCAGCCTCTCCCAGCCGGTGACACCCGTGCAAATGGCCCCTGGAGTCTCGGCTGAGCTGGGTTTTGCTGAAGTTGTTGGATTTTCCCAGTCTGGCTGTCAGGTTTGTCTCCCACTCCAGTGCCCCCTCACCCTCCGTGGGCAGCGGTACCCATCCCGTCGGAGCCGTGGGCCCGTGAGGCACAGGCGTTGGCTGGTGCCGGTGCCAGGCGGGCACCGAGACCCGCCTCTGCCGGAAGGCTGGTCCTGGCGCACGCGCTGCTCTAACGGCATGGCGTTGAGAGCCAGGAGTGGGGGACATGGGGTGACAGCCATCCTGCTGCGGAGCAGAGCTGCTGGTCCCCGTGATCCTACAGGGTGCTTGCGGGACGCCTACGTGCCACAGTGTTGGCCTTGGCTTCCCCCATCCCTGTCCCGGCATGGCTCCCAGCACACCAGACCCGTGACTGGGTGCGTGGCTGTGGCTAACGCAGATGCACCAGCCCGGGGAGTCAGCCACCGGTGTCGGGCTGGGACACCCAGCCGTGGCCAGCCCTGTGCCCAAACAGCTCTCACCTCTCTATTTGCTGCCTGTGCTCTGCTGGAGTGGAGATGCGGACTCTTTCCAGGCTCTTACTTTCCCTGTGCTTGATTTCCAGCTCCTAAAATCCGTTTCTCGCCCTCAGAATGTTTCCCCTTCTCCTGTCCCTCTGCCTTTTGGCGAACACCCGTGGGATTCGGAGGCAGCTGCTGGGGGCTTTGGGCAGCACATACAGACACGCTAAAGGGGGGCACCATGGTTTCCGCACCCGGGTTTCAGGCTTGCCGACAGGCTCCGGCATGCTCTGCGGCTCGTGGCGATGCAGCTCCCACCGGAGCTGCTTGGTCTTTCCCAGCCATCGCATCTCCCCTCGGCTCGAACCAGCCCCATGGCGGCGGAGCCGTAGCCAATGCCCCAGCAGTCCCTAACCCCCTTCTCGCGCGGCCGTGCTTGGGGATGCGCGGAGGTCCCCCACCGTGGCCGAAAGCCCTGCAGGGACGGCATTGAGCGGCCACTTACCAGCTTCCTCTGGTTGCTGAGGCAGAAAGTGCAGATCTGTTTGGGCTGGGAGTTCTCGGTGTCGCGCGCGGGGGGGCTGCCGCCGCCATGGTGGTAGAAGGCAGGGGTGGTGTGGCAGGGCTGCCCGTCCCCGCACGCCTCCCCCACCAGCAGCACGTTCCCCAGGTGGGAGATGTAGCTGGAGGCCAGTCTCAAGGTCTCGATCTTGGAGAGCTTTCTGTCGGCCGGCTCGGTGGGGATGAGTGTGCGGAGGGCGGTGAAGGCGGTGTTGACACTGTTGGTGCGGTCACGCTCCCGCGCGTTGGCCGTGTGACGCTGCCGGGGCTCCCTGTTGATCCGGTTGGGTTTCTTGCCGCTCCTGCGCTTGCTGGCCTTGATGCCGTAGCCATCGGCATCCAGGTGGTAGGGCTTCTCGTCGGAGCCGGAGCTCTCGCTGCCATTCTCCTCGTCCTCAGACAGCATGCTGATCTCGGGGTACAGGTACCGGCTGGGGGCCGAGCGCAGCATGGCAAAGGACATGTTGGGCGGCCAGGGGACACCGAGGAAGCTGCGTGGAGACCGCCGGGCTCTGCCGACCTCCTCCTGCTGCGGGATGGCCTCAGCTCCAGGCGCTCATGCTGTTTCCTCAGTTGGGGTCCGGCTGGCGTTGCCCTCCCCGGGTGGGCTCTGGGCTGGACTGGGGTGCTGCGGGGGGGTCCCCTGCCCCAACTCCCTGCTGGATCTCTCCGCGCAGAAGGGGTTAAGGGCTGCTCGCAGGCAGGGCTGCCTGTTTCCTCTCCCCACACATGTGCATCTTAAAGACTCAGAGTGTGGCAGGAGCCGGGAGTTTTATAGCAGCAGCAGTGGTCAGCCAGGCCCCTCCTCCGGCAGGCAGCCCTGCTCCAGCTCTGGAAGTGGGAGAAGCACAGGATCAC